GTGCGTGTGTGCCGCAGGGAACGGCGAGGCGAGCCTTGCCCCCCCTCCGTCCCCAGCCCCGTCCCTCCCCTGCTCCCCCTCCCCTCCCCTGCCCGCCCCCGCCTCAGCTCCTTTAATACACTTTGGTTCTCCGCTCGCCTTTGGACTCTGCTCTGCCTGGCTCCGGATACGACTCCGCCGGCGGCGGCAGCGGCGGCATCGGGCCGGAGCGGGCACGGGCGGCGGCGGGGGGACGCGGCGGCTGCCGGGGGGAAGCGGAGCGGAGCGGCAGCGGCCCCGCGCCCGGGCGGGCGGGCGGCGGCAGCCCGGAGGCGGAGGCTGTAGCGGGGAGCCGGCAGCGGCGGCAGCGGCTGCGTCCCCGGAGCGGCGCGGAACATGCTGCTGGACGCCGGCCCACAGTTCCCGGCCCTCGGAGTGGGCACCTTCGCCCGGCACCACCACTCGGCCGCGGCGGAGATGCAGGACCGGGAGCTGAGCCTGGCGGCGCAGAACAGCTTCGTGGACTCGGCGGCGGCGCACATGGGCGCCTTCAAGCTCAACGCCGGCGCCCACGACCTCTCCCCCGGGCAGAGCTCGGCGTTCACCTCGCAGGCGCCCGGTTACCCCGCCGCCGCCCTGGGCCCCCACGCCGCTCATGTCGGTTCCTACTCCGGGGCGCCCTTCAACTCTACCCGGGACTTCTTGTTTCGCAGCCGGGGCTTCGGGGACTCGTCGCCGGCCGGCGGACAGCACGGCATCTTCGGCCCTGCGGCCGGCAGCCTGCATCACCCGCACACGGACGCTCAGAGCCACCTCCTCTTCCCGGGCATCCACGACCAGCACGGCCCCCACGCCTCCCAAAATGTTCTCAACGGGCAGATGCGACTGGGCTTGCCGGGGGAGGTATTCGCCCGGTCGGATCAGTACCGCCAGGTTTCCAGCCCCAGGACTGACCCTTACTCGGCGGCTCAGCTGCACAACCAGTACGGCCCCATGAATATGAATATGGGCATGAACATGGCAGCCCACCACCACCACCACCCAGGTGCCTTTTTCCGCTACATGCGGCAGCAGTGCATCAAGCAAGAGCTCATCTGCAAGTGGATCGATCCCGAACAGCTGAACAACCCCAAAAAAAGTTGCAATAAAACTTTCAGCACCATGCACGAGTTGGTCACCCATGTCTCGGTGGAGCATGTTGGGGGACCCGAGCAGAGCAACCATGTCTGCTACTGGGAGGAGTGTCCCCGCGAAGGCAAACCTTTCAAAGCGAAATACAAACTGGTCAATCATATCCGAGTGCACACGGGAGAGAAACCCTTCCCCTGCCCCTTCCCTGGCTGCGGAAAAGTTTTCGCCAGATCAGAAAATCTCAAAATTCACAAAAGGACGCACACAGGTAATTCGGGTTTCTTTCGCCAGATTTCCTCCCTCTGCCCGTGCCTATATATGTGTGTATATATATATATATATGTAAACTGATAGATATTCAGACAGACTGATGCTAAATTAGGAGGGTGATAAAATAAGCTTCCAGTTTATTTTTTTTAACCCTCTCCATCACATGGCTCCGTTTGTTTTGGTCTCTTCCCCAGCAGCATACACCCCCCTCCATCCCAGATTTCGAAAGGATATTTTACTGATTTGTTTTAATTTGGGAGTGAGAACTGTAGATTCGTGCTGAGGTTCAGCGGAGTCTTTCCGCAGAAACGCGGGATACAGTGCGAACCAAATTTTGCCGTCTTGCTAAAATACGGGAAGACATCCGGCCGTCTATCCATCCATCCATCTGAAACGCCTTAGCCACTTGCTCTATGCGACGTATTTGCATATTTCATCGTTTGTGAGCATGGCTTTTATTTATGGATACTGAGAGAAGCTATATAAATACTTGAAAAATCAATCATTAGTCCTAAATCCCGTTAGAAGTGGCAAAAAGTCCCTTTCTGGGAATGTTTTCCATTAAATTTAAATGGTGTGAGCAAGGCAATAAAATTTTCTCATTTAAAAAAAACCCTGGTTTTAAAGTCTCACTCGATGTGATTTAAGGTGTTTTTGCAACAGTTTATTAAATTATATATTAGGGAGCAAAGGATTTGAAGTTCAGAAACTTCCACCCGTATCAGGTGGAAGAGGGTCGAGGGAGCTCAGGCTTTCCTGATGGAAAATCGCCTGAGCCGAAGGGTAACAAAAATAAACGCATCCTCCCGCCTCATCTATTATTCATTTACTACTCCTGCCGGCTCAAACCGTGCCAGACTATTTCATAAAAGACGGCCAAATATTTTAGCGACTTCCACTCCAAATATTTACCCGGAGAAAGGCTAAAAATCTCGAGGCCTATTGTTTTCTCAAGTGCTAAGCCCGATGCGAGGTGCGAGACGAGCTTTAACAAGGTTTAAAATTTGAGAAATGTATTTGCATGAGATGCCCGCACTGAAGTCATTGTGTCTGAGCGGATGTCTTTAAGAAACAATTTAGGTGCTAATGGAATCTAATGTTAAATGCTTCCCCTTCCAAAGGCGGGAGAATGTGGAGTTCTCACCTCCAAAGTACTCCCCGGCATTTGGAGTCCTGGCAGCCGGGCGAGAGGAATCCCTATGAAAATTAAATGAAGTATTTTACAGACGTTTAGTTTTCCCAGCGGATGTGCGTTTATCTTGAATATCCATACACGGAACAATATACCCGGCCTTAAATCTGTCGGTAATGGTTTCCAGTTTAACAGGATAGCGGATTTGGTACCGAGGCGAAACGGCTCGGTGATGCTTTTTTTTTTTTTTTTTTTTNTTTTTTTTTTTCTTTTTCTTTAAATTCGTCTTTCTTCTTCAATTTCTTTCGGGGCTGGCTATGTGTGTCGGCACCGGTTGAAATAAAATAAGGCAAGATACCGGGACGGGGATATCCCCGGGGTTTTGGTAGGAAAACCAGGTGGGGGACGGGGGTTGCCTCGCTTCAGGGCAACGCGTGAGCGACGCGGCCCTCCGGCGCTGCGGGTACCGGGACACAGCCGCCCGGCCCCTTGTTTAGGGAAACTGCTGTACGAAGCGACTGGGAGAGGAGGGCGAGGGCGGAGAAACTCGGCGCGGGGCTGTGCGGGGTTTGCGCGGGGGCGGCCGCGCTCACCCCGCTGCTGCGCCGCTCTCTTGCAGGGGAGAAGCCCTTCCAGTGCGAGTTCGAAGGCTGCGACCGGCGCTTCGCCAACAGCAGCGACCGCAAGAAGCACATGCACGTCCACACCTCGGATAAGCCCTACCTGTGCAAGATGTGCGACAAGTCCTACACCCACCCCAGCTCCCTGCGGAAACACATGAAGGTACCCGGCCCCGCAGCCGGCGGCGGGAGGCGGGAGGGCGGCCGCCCCGCGCCGGGCGCCCCGACGGGGCGGCGGGCGGCGGGCGCAGGGCCCAGGGGCGGCGGAGGGCCGGGCCGGCGGCGGGGGGCGCGCCCGGGGGGCGGCCGCGGCCTCGCCATCCCCCCTCCACCCGGCCGTGTTGCCTTTGCCCCCCAGGTGCACGAGTCGTCCCCGCAAGGCTCCGAATCCTCCCCGGCCGCCAGCTCCGGCTACGAGTCCTCCACCCCCCCGGGGCTGGTGTCCCCTAGCGCCGAGTCGCAGAGCACCAACAACCTCTCCCCTGCGGCGGCGGCGGCGGCGGCAGCGGCGGCGGCCGTGTCCGCCGTGCACCGGGGCGGCGGCGGCGGCGGCAGTGGCGGCGGCGGCGGCGGCCACAGCGGCCTTTCCTCCAACTTCAACGAGTGGTACGTGTAGGGCCCCGCCGGACTGCTCTGCACGGCCCCGCCGCGCCCCCCCCGCCCCGGCGGCGGCGGTGGCGGTGGCGGCGGGCAGGAGGGACCGAGCAAGCCCGCCGGAGACGCGCCGGGAGATGCCGCCGCACCCGCCGGCAGCGAAATGACGGCCGAGCAGGATGGGGACAGGGGGCCTTCATCTCCCCACACCCTCCCGCCTTCGCGTCTTTTTTTTTTTTTTTTTTTTCTTTTTTTTTTTTTTGATTTTTTTTTTTTTTTTACATTTTGAACCAGCAAAAAAATTTCCTAAAACTATATGCTGAAAAAACATAAGAGAACGAGTAAACCAACGGAGGAACGGAAAGGGGAGAGAGAGAGAGAAAAAAAAAAACAACCCCATGCGCCACCAACACATCACCCAGCTAAAAGCTTCACAAACCGGTGGAAAGAAACTCTCCCTCCGGAGTCTTCAGACAAAAGATCAGAGACTCAAACTCCTCTGGTCCCCGCGCCTCCCCGCCCGGAGCAGCCTGCGCCCTCCCGTCCCATGAACTGTGTATATAGCGGCCTTCTCCTTCCTCCGGCGAGGTGGGGAACGAGGTTTTCCTGGATTGTCGGTGTATAGAAGTTCGTCCCGTTTGTAAACCACGGATTGGTCCCTTTTTCTTCTTCTTCTTCTTTTTTCCTTTTTTTTTTTTTTTTTTTTTTTTCCCCACCCCCACCCCTTTATCCCTCCCCGAGAAAGTGATGGACTGACTGGTTTTCTTTTCTCCCGCTCTCCCTTCCCACTTCTTTCTCTTCTCCTCTTTTAGTTCATCCCTTTAAAAAAAAAAGTAACGTGGAAGAAAAAAAAATGGTTTCTTTTGTAATTGTGATATCTTGAATATTGTGTTCCTTTTTAAGAAGCAACTTGATTGTAAACTGCATTTCAACTATAGACTGGGGAAGAAATACCGTGCCAAAGTCTCCATTCTGTTACTCACAGACACACACACGAACAACAACGCTTGTGAATGTATTTTTCTGTTAGCTGGGTTTACATGTGATGTTTTAGTGCTTTTGCAAGTTCAATTTGTTAGTTCCTGTTCGGAAGATTGTGAGGAAAAATAAACGTCGTGCCGTTAGCTTTTCCGTAATAACGCCCTTCCTCCTGTAAATACCTGTTACCATATTTATCCATTTGTAATTAAATTATGGTATTAACTTGCTACAGAGGAAACAGTATTTATAAAGAATGTTTCTTAACTATAAATATGTACAATTGTGAGCATAAACTGTTTCAGATTTTTTATTTGAAGGTTTAAGTGGTTTCATCATTTCTTGTGATATGTTTTGAGAGTAATGCATACAGAAATATAATAAAACGTGTTGAAACTACATGAGCTGTTTCCTTTTCATGCCAAAAGCTCTCTGAAACCTGCTATAAGGTATGTGATGAGCTGAGCGGCGATTGCAAAACAAATGCTTTTAAAACTTCTGCTGGTTACTGGGAGAGGAGGATTCCTTCCAGCTGGGCTCTCCTGTCCAGAAGGGGAAAAAAAAGGAAAAAGAAAATAAAAAAGGGGTGAAAAAAAAAAAGCCACAAAAGCCCCTAAAACTTTATGAAGCTTCTGAGCTGAAAGAAAATTGTGAGGGAGGGTATGCATATTCTCCAAATGACTTTCAAGGCAAGATCTCCTTTAGTAAGATACTTACGCGGCGAGAGCACATCTTCCTCCGGTTCCTGCCTTCCTCAGGCTCACCCCTCTCTCCCCGATGCGTGTCTGGCTGGGGACATCATTGCCTTACAGGCTGGGAAAGGGGGGCGTTTCGGGACGGAGGTGGAGGGGCAATGACACGGCTCTGAGCTGGTTGCTTTGAGCCGTGGATGGTTCTTGCCTCCTGTGTAGTCATCTTTTTGGCAGCCTCCATACTGCCCGGGAGAGAAGAAAGTTGTGATGACCAAGAGCTCACACTTCTCTTTCGAGTTTTCTCTCTCTCACTCTCTTTTAAATTTTTTTGTTTTTTAATTTAGCCCAGAGAGCGGTTCGGGCTGACAGATGTGTTCAGGGAAGGACGGAGAGCAGCCGGGCGATGACTTTCCCGGGATGCTGGCCCGGCGTTTGGCTCCACGCGCGATGTCGGGGCCCGGCCGGCGGAGCAGCCCGTGCAGGGCAGCCGGACAGCAGCTCTCCGGGCACAGCCCGCCGCACCGGGACACACAGGGCGGGTGTGACAGCGGCAGGGAAATCGTGGAAAAAGTTCGGCCTTGTCAAGCCACAGAAATACTCCCTGTGAAGAGGCAGTACTGTGAGCCGGGCTCCGAGCGCCCTGCGGTGGCTGCGCTGCCTTCAGCGGCAGCTTGTGCAGCCGGGGAAGCCCCTTTGCTCCTCACACCCGGCCGAGCCCATCACTCACGTCCCCCCGGGCCAGTCGTCGCTTTGGGTTTTTCGGGCTTTGTCCCGTGTGTTCAAATATCAATAGAGCTGTGTCCAGCCGGTGTGAGGGAGCTGGGTGAGGAGATGAGGGTACACGGGGCCCTGCTCACTTCTGGGGTGAGATGAGGGTTACCTACACCTAGGGGAAGGGAAGGAGGGAGGGAAAGACACCCCCTCTCCCCTGTCCCGCCGCTGACAAGGAAGTTTAGGTGTGGAGCAGATCCGGAGCTTCCTCGGCGGCCGTGCTCATCCCAGAGCGGCCATCCCCACACACCCGGCAGCTCCCCGGGTAATCAAACTGCTATTAAAACCCAATTCATCTTCGGTGATAATAATGTTACTTAAAAAAAAAAAAAGTATTAAAATCATTGGCATATGCTGCCTCCTCTTGGAGACATCCGTGGGAAATACAGCTGAGAGGATCCTTCCTTGTCCTGCTGGCCTTCCCACAGCTGAAAAACCATACGGGGGTCCCACTTCAGAGCCAACCACCGTCTGCCCAAATCCCCTCCCGGGCCCAGAGGTGCACGAACAGCCCTGCCCAAGGGCCACCAACCCCGCTCTGCCATCCCCTGCCCCGGTGGGCTCAGCTCCGACCGGAGAGAAGTGCTCAGGGACTGGGCTCCCCTTCTCCCTCCCCTCGGAGCCATTCTGTCTTCGGAGGAGCCCAGGGATGATCCTTGAGGGGGGTAAGCGGCCTCCCTCTGGCCAAAGCTCAGGTCGTGTGGCAGCAGGGACAGTCCCCAGTCCCTCCGGCAGGGATGCCTCTCCTCCAGCAGGCCCAGGAATGTGGCCGTGGCGGCTGTGGCAGTGAGTAAGCTCCCCCTCCTTCCCTGTCCTACCCAGGCTGGCCTTGAACTTGACCCTCGCCTTGGCGCATCCTGCCCGCAGCCCCTCTCCACCCGCCTCCCTCGTGCCATGACCCTGGCCCGGCCCTGCCACGCTTAAAGGAGAGCGGGAAGTTATCAGGTTCAGGGGTTGGGGTTTTTTAGGGGGTAGAGCAGCCAAGATCCCTCTCACAGCCTTGTGTGAGGGTGGCCCGCTGGCCCCGAAGTCCTCCTCTTCGCCCCTCTCCTTTGTCCACCTCGAAACCGTCAACCCCAAACCCCTCCCTCTCCCCAGCTTTGCCTCCTACGCCGAACCTGCACTTCCCAAATCTCCTTGCCCTGGCCCTGAAGACAGCTTGGGAACCAATCTGGTGGGAGGCCTGAGGCTTCCCCAGCAGTCCCGAGCCTGCCCTGGCATTCCACAGTCCCCTCGTGCCCAGGCACAGCGAGCGGGTGCCCGGCCGGTGGCCCGCACTCCCCGACGGCTCTGCCCCGACGGCTCCCGGGTCGCCTCGGCCCACGGCCCCCGCCGTCGGCGAGCAGCGGGAGGCACGGCGCTGCCCCGCCGGCGGCACCCCGTGCCCAGCTGCGGCAGCCCCACTTGGCCGCCTGTCCTGCGGTGGTGCGGTTCTTCCTTTATACGGTGAAAAGCAGCATGGAGGGGTGGGTTTAGTTTTTATCGTTATTATTAATAATGAAATCCTCTCCTAACTCTTCCTGCAGATCCCCTGAAAAGACGGATTGGTTTCCCTGGGAATTACTCTCTCTTCTTAAGCCAAAAAATTTGAGGGTCCGTCCATAAAACAGGCTGTGCTTTGTCCCTCGCACCCGCAATTGGAGAGCAGTTCAGGGCTCTGCTTTCACCTGCCCTCGCTCTGCTTCACCTGGCTTGGCTGCACAGTGGCTTTGGGTTGCAGCCGGTGATGGCAGGAAAAAACCCGAACCCAAACCCAAAGGTAAACCAACCTCCCAACGTGCAAACAGACATGACAACAGCCCAGACCGGAATAGAATAAAATGCAGGAGCTCTCGCCCGAATCCGAGCGTGGAGCGGCTCCTGAGCCTGCCGGTGCCGGCGGGGCTCGGCAGCGGGCAAGGGGCTGCCTCTGCACGGCCAACCCCCGCCGCCGGTGCCGGGGGGCAGCAGACCGGGCTGCAGCCACTCCGTTTGGCTCTGACCAGACCTCCCCAAACCCGTATCAGCCTTTTAAGTTTCTCCTTTGTTTTCAGAAACTCGTACACATTTCCTGCCCGCTATGAAGACATGTCAGGCTCCCCCAAACCTCTCCCCAGCCACAAGTCACGCTAAACGTGCTCCTGGGCACAGCGAGGTATGTATATTTTTCTATTTGTCATCTTCACGCATGGTTGTAGGCTTGGTGATTTTTTTTTTT